TTTTGGGGGGCACTAAGCAAAGGGAAGGAACCAGGAGCGCCGGCTGGGGATCCAAAAAGAAGATTTTAGGGGCTGCTCTGTGCAAAACCATTGCACAGAGCAGGTAAGTCCTTGGCGTCATTCTTGACTCAAACCTCTCCTTCCTGCCTCATGTCAAATCACTTACAAACACCTGCAGGCTCCATCTCCGCAATATTGCTAAGATACGTGCCTTCCTCACCCCAGACACCACCAAACTTCTTGCACACTCCCTCATCATCTCACGCCTTGACTATTGCAACTCTCTTCTCACTGGCCTACCCAAGTGCAGGCTCTCCCCGCTCCAGACCATCCTGAACTCAGCGGCCAGACTCATCCACCTCACCACCCGCTCCACCTCTGCCACCCCCCTCTGCCTCTCCCTCCACTGGCTCCCGATTGCCCAACGCATCAAATTTAAACTTCTAATCCTGACCTACAAAGCCGTTCATAACACTGCCCCTGACTACCTCACCAACCTGATCCCCAAGTACCACCCTACCCGTACCCTTCGCTCCTCACAGGACCTCCTTCTATCCTGCTCCATGGTATCCTCCTCCCATGCACGACTGCAGGACTTCTCCAGGTCCTCCCCTATCCTCTGGAACTCACTGCCCCAATCCATCCGACTGTCGCCTTCCCTCCCCACATTCAGGCGCTCCCTCAAAACCCATCTCTTCAGGGAAGCCTACCCCACCCTCACCTAACGGCCATTCTCCCTCTTTCCTCCCACCCCTCATTCCCCTCAGCCACTTCCTACTGTACCTTTACCCCCTCCCTCCTAGATTGTAAGCTTGAAAGAGTAGGGCCCTCTTACCCCTCGTACGCTGTCTGTTTTTTGTTGTACTGTGCCATGTATTGTCCCCCCTATTGTACAGTGCTGAGCAAACCCTTTGGCGCTATATAAACTTGATGTAATAATAATAATAATAATAATAAGTATAACGTGTGTAAAATTGTTTTTTTTCTAATTCTTTCCTTGAGAATCACTTTAAGAATACTTTAATTCGTTTTTTTCTCAGCTACAGTTTAGTATCACTTTAACAGACCCATAATAAAAAGATCCATCTGCAATCCCTGCTTACTTAATGACAGGTGCTAGGGGTCCAAATGTTTCTTCTCTTGTGCAAAGCATCTGTGTAGTGACATTGCTGATCAAAGTAGGTTCGTAAAAATTTTTCCCAACACTTGACCGTTTGCCTCCCACCTCAATACAAGCACCCTGAGACCAAAGCATCTTGCACATGATGCTCCACCTAGCATAAGAAAAAAAAAAGATGAAATTCTTAGTTACAGAACACACACTGAATAATTTAAAATGGCAACAATGTACTTAGTACTTCGACACACAGTTATAAATGCAGGTAAAAGTGATCAAAACTACTTTGGTCAAGCCCATCCTTCCCATGAAGAATCTCTTTGTAAAGAGACAATAGTGGTATTCTGACACACTCAGAAGACAAGCTTGGTAATGGTGGGCATGGTCTTGCACCCATGTAATCTCACTAAAGTTTACCAATGTCTTGTTTTGTGTTTCAGTTCCTTTCCCCACTTAAAAGGGAATCCATCAGTTCAAGAAATATTGTGTATTACCACAACTGGGGTATAGCAGGCACCAAAAGATCTCAGTATATTCAATTACATTTCCAGGAACCAAATGTTGATTTTATTCCATGTCAGAGATCAGATATGGCTTCCCCCCCAACAGTGCCATAGAGATACCTTTTGGTTTAGGTTGGTCAGATGACTGCCTTTCACTTTAGGATCTGAGGATCTCTGACTTGGGAAAAAAAAAAAAAAAGTAAATCTAAGAAATTAACCAAGCTTTCTGTGTCATTATAATGGCGCAGGAAACTGTTAGAAGTGGCATGTGCCACAATAACTAACCAGATACACCTGTTTTAGGTCTATCTACGCTACTGCACATGTTTCTACTTCAAAGTGAAATAGAAACTAGCGCAGGTCTGCCTTTAATTAACAAAAGGAAATATGTCAGTTTTCCACATCAAATTGCTGCAGATTCCCACCAGATGTGTGAAAGTATGCGATGTGAGCTTTGATAACACTACATGAGCAGAGACTGCAGAGATAACACCCTCCTCCTCCCTCTGCTCTGACCTGAGAGGGGCTAGAGAAAGGAGCATGCAGCTACAGGTCTCCATTCTGGATGCTGTGCCTGTGCCACAAAAACAGAGAACAGAGTGCTCCTAGTTAACAGGGGTTTGTGCCCCTTTTGCTAAATAGGAGCGGCACCTGCTCCATATTCTAAGTTTAGAATAGTCTAAGCACTGTTTCTGAACAATTCTTTCTCAATTCCCCCAATGTCTATACAGTGCACCTCCCCAAGAATCACGGTTTCAAGGACACACTGTGGACAAATTATCACTGATCTGATAACTTGAAAGGTGTGTACAGACAACTTCTTGTGACCCCTATCACCCAGATATGTTAGTTTATATTGTTAAATTCTAAGAAACAGGTTCCTCATCATATTAAAGAACTACACCGATCAGCCATATTTTATGACCACCCACCTAATATCGAGTAGGTCCCTTTTGTCACCAAAACAGCCCTGACCTGTTACGGCATGGACACCACTAGAGCTATGGTATCTAGCACCAAGCTGTCAGTAGCACATCCTTGAAGTCCTGTAAGTTGCAAGGTGGAGATCTGGAGAATTTAGAAGCCAAGTCAATACCTCAAATTCGTTGTTGTGTTCCACATTGTTGAACTATTTTTGCAGTGTGCCAGAATGCACTATCCTGCTGAAAGAGGCCACTGACATCAGGGAATACTGTTTCCATGATGTGGTGTACTTGGTCAGCAACAATGTTTAGATAAATTCATGTTAGTAACATCCAAATGAATGGCAGGACCCAAGGTTTCCAAGCAGAGTATTGCCCAAAGCATTACACTGCCTTCACCGGCTTGCCTTCTTCCCACACTACATCCTGGTGCCATCTCTTCCCCAGGTAAGTGACACACAAGCACTCAGTCATCCACATTATGTAAAAGAAAATGTGATTAATCAGACTAGGCCACCTTCTTCCATTGCTCTGTGGTCCATGTAGGTGCTTCTGGCTATGGGAAACGAGTCAGCATGGACACCCTGACCGGTCTGTGGCTACACAGCCCCATACAAAACAATCTGCGATGACCATTTTTTCCTTTCAACACAACAACTTCAAGGACAATATGTTCACTTGCTGCTTAATACAGTTGTGTTCAAAATAATAGCAGTGTGTTGAAAAAAGTGAATAAAGCTCAAAATCTTTCTAATAGCTTTTATTTCCATACACACAAATGCATTGGGAACACTACACATTCTATTCCAAATCAAAACATGAAGAAAAATAGATCAAATTTGTGTTGTTCCTCTAAAAAAAATTGAAGAAACGTGAATATTAGACTGTACAAAAAAATAACAGTGTTTGTATTCTTCTTTACAAACTCAAACATTCACTATATAAACTAAAAAATGTTTGAAGATTTTGCTTTCCTTTGAATCACTTAATTAATATTTAGTTGTATAAGCACTGTTTCTGAGAACTGCTGTACATCTGTGTTGCATGGAGTCAACCAACTTCTGGCACCTGTGAACAGGTATTCCAGCCCAGGATGATTGGACTAAATTCCACAGTTCTCTATTTCTTGGTTTTGCCTCAGAAACTGCACTTTTGATGTCACCCCACATGTTTTCTATTGGATTAAGATCCGGGGATTGGGCTGGCCACTCCATAACGTCAATCTTGTTGGTCTGGAACCAAGATGTTGCACGTTTACTGGTGTGTTTGGGGGTCGTTGTCTTGTTGGGACACCCATTTCAAGGGCATTTCCTCTTCAGCATAAGGCAGCATGACCTCTTCAAGTATTCTGATGTATTCAAACTGATCCATGATCCCTGGTATGCGATAAATAGGCCCAACACCGTAGTATGAGAAACATCCCCATATTATGATGCTTGCGCAACCATGCTGCACTGTCTTCACAGTGTACTGTGGCTTGAATTCAATGTTTGGGGGTCGTCTGACAAACTGTCTCCGGCCACTAGACCCAAAAAGAACAATCTTACTTTCATCAGTCCACAAAATTTTGCTCCATTTCTCTTTAGGCCAGTCAATGTGCTCTTTGGCAAACTGTAACCTCTTCAGCACGTCTTTTTTTCAACAGTGGGACTTTGTGGGGGCTTCTTGCAGATAGCTTGGCTTCACATAGGCGTCTTCTAATTGTAACAGTACTCACAGGTAACTTTACACCTTCTTTGATCTTCCTGGAGCTGATTGTTGGCTGAGTCCTTGCCATTTTGGCTATTCTTCTATCCAATCGAATGGTAGTTTTTCGCTTTCTTCCATGTCTTTCAGGTTTTGGTTGCCATTTTAAAGCATTTACGATCATTTTACTGAGCAGCCTATCATTTTCTGCACTTCTTTATATGTTTTCCCCTCTCCAATCAACTTTTTAATCAAGGTACGCTGTTCTTCTGAACAATGTCTGGAACGACCCATTTTCCTCAGAATTTCAGAGAGAAATGCACTGTAACCAGCATGTACAACATTTGCTGCCTTCCTTCCTTAAATAAGGGCAATAATTGCCACCTGTTTTTCAAAGAATGAATGACCTCACTAATAGAACTCCACACTGCTATTATTTTGAACATGCCCCTTTCAATTAGTGATTCAATTACACAGAATCAGCAGCATGCATGTCATGACTGTTGGGTCTGTTGGATTTCTATTACTCTACTACACCTGCTAGTAAATTATTTGCCATGTAGAAATATCATTTCTACCAAAAACAGTGATTGATCAGGTTAATGATGTCTGACTGCTATTATTTTGAACACAACTGTATATATCTCACCCACTTTCAGATGCCATTGTGACAAGATAATCAATGTTATTCACTTCAACTGTCAGTGGTCATAAAGTTATGGCTGATCGGTATATATCACAGGAAGCACATTTCAAAAGCTTACATTTCTTCTAATAATTACCTTCTCCACAGCTTTTTCGTTTAATAAGTGGACCCTGATTGACACCATCTTTAAATCCATTGCCCACATACAGATCTTTCTTTATCAGCGCTGCCAGCTTTGTTACAAAGGCATCATGTACTCCTTTCTGAACCAGGAATTTGTTTGTACAGACACAAGTCTGCAGGAGACAAGAAAGGAAACAAGAAATACAAGTATTTAAAGTAAATCTATTCTTATTTTGTATAACCTAGTCCTTGTTCACACAGGCTTCAGCTTGTATAAGTGCAGTGTATACAGCAAGGTTTACAAAGCATTTGTAATGCTTTTGGCAAACTTTGAGTAGTTTTGTAAAAAAAAATAAATAAAAACTATTTCCAGTAGGAGAATGTCAAATACAGGTTAGAATGGAGTGCTGACTGACAATGCATAAGATTTTACCATTTTTAGGACTCCATTCACACTTGCAAATAGATACAATTACACTGCAGCAGGAACCCCCTTTGAAATGAATGGGAGGCTGACAGCTCCCGCAGCTAATTGCGGCAGCTTGCATGTAAATCGCTCATGGAGTGATTACCTGCAAATGATTGGCCCTTGACAAAGATAAAAGGAAATATAAAATGGCTAGCACAAAGGCTTAATGGTTAGCACTCCCCCTTGCAGTGCTAGGGTCACCAGTTCAAATCCCAACCAGGACACTACCTGCATGGAGTATGCATGTCCTCCCTGCTTACGTAGGTTTCCTCCCATACTCCAAAGACCTGCTTGTAGGTTAACTGACCCTAGAAGGTATGAAAGAAGGGCAATGAGGAAGAGGCAAGTCCTCGAAACGCGTCAGCCTATTGGATGTCTACACTCCCCATTGCGGACTGTTACTCAGCGCGGTGTTGACCCAGCTGTTCTTTTATGATGTGCCTTGACTTTATTCTTGTTTGTGAGTACAACACCTATTTTATTTCTTATTAAACATTTTTTATAGTAATGCACTAGGCCTGTGCACCCTCTCTTTGTTCTTTCCTCATTCATTATGAAAGATGGGGACCTTGGATTGTAAACTCCTTGATAGTAGGGACTGAAGTGAATGTATAGTATGCAAAGTGCTGTATAAATTGTTGGCGCTATATAAATACCTGTAATAACAATAACAACATTTCAGAGATGTCACAGAACAAGAAGTAAGGGGAAAATCGTAGCTAATACACAATAAATGATGAATGGCGACTAGCCGCTCAAGCCCCAGCACTTCATTTTGAGAGAAAAGAGGAGAAATTCACATTCTCCCTTAGCATTTCCAAGACACAGAGAAACAAAGCAGCTGGGAATCATGTACAAAGTGAGTATCGCTGGGTGAGGGGGCTCAAAATCAAAATACTCTAAACCTGCATCGCTGGGAGAACCAAGTCCAGTCTCCTATCCTAATCCTTCCCTTCAAAATGCAGGTCTCCTTTAAAATGAGCAATGTCTCATACCTGGCCAGAATTTCGAAACTTGGAAGCAAGAGCACCAGCTACTGCTTTGTCCACGTCTGCACTGTCAAAGACAATGAATGGAGCATGTCCTCCAAGTTCCATAGACACCCGCTTTACAGAATCAGCTGCATAGCGAAGCAGAATCTGCACATGGAAAACCAGGAAACATAGTCAGTCACAAAATACTTTATCTGAAATTGAATTCTCTGTTATGCCCAAAGATACCTGCAATTCCCACCTTTAAACATACAGTTATGAAATATCACCTGTAGCTAGAGAGGGCTGTAGTGTTCCATTGCTGACCCTTCCTTCCAAATATTGCTTTTTACCCTGCTGTCTTGCTAATAGAACGGCTTCAATATTTTCCAAGTCTCTGAACTTTAAAAACCAGACCAGAAGTTCTGGCAGAACTCTTACTTTCTTAACTGCAAATTTATTCCAGGTCAGTGAGAATACGTTATCCCTTCTATTCCTGCCAGAATTAGTGCCCCCATTTGGTGCCACTCAGCACTTCACACATTAGTATGGCATGCTATGTGGTGGTCCTTTGACTTTGGGTTCCATTTGGATCGCATACCTGGCAGTATACTTATTTATGGAGTAAAAAGGTATGATCATTCTTTTTGACATGCTGAGGCTGCTCCAGGAATATGTATTTCCATTAACTATCTTTATGCTTGTATCCCCATCTTTCTGTCCTGTAGAACAATGTGCAGTGGTGGAGCACAGTGTCTGATGTTTACTGGCACATAATATGATCAGCCTCATGCTATCCAAGTACTATTGGGAAACTGCTATTTGGCTCCTATTATTACATTAGTGCCCATTTGCGAGCGGCCTACTAAATGTTTTGTTTAATGTAGTTTTCGGATACATATATTTGGGATAGGAGTACCCCATATTATATATTAAAATTTGGGGAATTGGACTTCATAGTAAACTTTCCCTTCTCACACACATATATTTTAAAGTTGTTAGGCAACCGGAGGTTCTTGTAACGTTGTTGTGATGGGGTGTCCACTGAGGGGATAATGTCAAAAAATTCCTGGAACACAGTTTTGTTTTTATGGTTGATGTAACAAGTGTTCTCTGCCGAGTCGTACGTTAAACTGTGATGTTCACATGATGTAGTTGTAACTATATTAGAGATTGTAAATAGAAAGACGTTATTCATTTTTTTGTAGTGTGAACAGAGTTTCTTCTCCCCTATGGAAGAAATTAGAAAAGCATCAGACTTGTAGAGATGCAATGGATAGGAACACTTTCTGAATGTAGATATTGCCGACCTATTCCTTTTTTTTTTTTTTTTTAAGTATAAAAGAAAAGTTTTAATCATTAATATACAATAACATTATTTAATTTACATGATGTGTATGCACATCATGAATGCCAAAAAAGTCCCACGTAAGAGTTCTTGGGTTGTATGTTTTGAATTACAGGGATGTTGGCATTCCTCTTTGGGTGAAATCACTTAAATACAATCCTTTTGTGCTTATTCCAAGTCAGTGAGAATACTGAAGAAGGTGGAAAAAAAAAAAAAAAAAAAAACAAACATTGTCAGGGGTGACTAGAAAAGAATGTCTACATATTTTTCTTCTCTTAACCACTTGCCCTCCAGAGGATTTACCCCCCTTCCTGACCAGGCCATTTTTTGTGAAATGATGCTGCGTCACTTTAACTGACAATTGTGCGGTCATGCAACGCTGCACCCAAATGAAATTTATGTCATTTTTTTCCCCACAAATTTCTTTCAGTGGTATTTGATCGCCTCTGCACTTTTTATTTTTTGTGCTATAAACAAAAAAAAACTATTTTGCGAAAAAAAAAAACAACAATTTTACTTTTTGCTATTAAACATGTCCAGTAAAAATTTTTTAAAAGATCAAATTTCGTCATGAATTTACGCCAAAAGGTAGTCTGCTACATGTCTTTGCTAAAAAAAAATCCCAATACGTGTAAATTAATTGGTTTTCGTGGAATCTTTTTTTTTCTTTTTTAATACTAGTAAAGGCAGCGATCAGCGACTTATATCGGGACTGCGGAGGGCATTCTGACACTGGGGGGTTACTGATTAACTGTCACTGACATCCCCAGTGACACTAATAAAAAGCACTGACACTGTACTAATGGCACTAGGCAGGAAGGGGTTAACATCTGGGGCGATGAAAGGGTTAACTGTGTGCTGTGTTTCTGTAAGCACATTGCTTTGTATTGCTCTGCTATGCAGACCTCTCCCCCCGTCAGTGATATTCGGCGATCGCCAGGTGGCAGTGGGGAATCACCGGCCAGGATCCGGTGATCGACAGCTGAGGCCACCAATGGCGATGTAGGTAGGGCACATGTGCACCCTCTACCCAGTGATGCAAAATCACACACACACACACGTGATTTTGCTCAGCCTTGACGCTCTGTAGCAGTATTTTTGCTAGAGGGTGGCGGGAAAGCTGTTAAACTGAAAAAAACTCAAACTTTTCTTGTACATACATTCAGAAAAAAACTTTATGTTCATGTGATCGGGAAAAAATTTTTTTTTTTTTTTTTCAAATAATCCACTAGTGTGGGATAATACCTTCACATTTTCTCCACCTATTGCAGATCAGTGAATATTGCCTTTGGTTCTACCACTAAGCTTCCATCTTTACGTCATTATAGACACTCTATATCCTAACACATATTCCCATCTGTCTGTATCAATGGAAGGCAATCAGGAAACAGTCAAGGGGATAATCCCATGTCTTGCTACATCTACAGGGAGCCGCTTGTAGAAATAACAGAGGAAAGTTTCAACAGTAATACATATTTAAACATTTTTTTAAGGAATATTACCTTTCCTGTAACAGTAGACCCAGTGAAAGAAATTTTGGCTACTGCAGGATCTGTGCACAGAATTTCTCCAACTTTTGGGGCCTTCTGCCGAGAACATGGCACAACATTGTACACTCCACCTGGGATGCCAGCCTGATGAGCAAGCTGCAATATACACAAAGCAAAAGAGGATTAAGCTCAGTCATGCAAAGAACACAGCAAGACATGTCATGACTTTACATAAACTATACCTCTGCAAGTGCTAATGCAGACAGTGGGGTGTCTTCTGCAGGCTTCACTATAACTGTACACCCAGCAGCCAGAGCAGCCCCAACCTTTCTTGTGATCATTGCGCTGGGGAAATTCCACTGATGGCAGAGAAAAAAAAAAGGATTAATCATAAATATCTAAATGGTACATACAAAGCAAGTAATAATATCCACTGCCATAAGTTAAGTAGTAGTGTTTATGTTCTATTCCTCTACAGTATACCTGAAGTAGCCACAGCTTGCTGGTGTAAGTGGAGTAGAACTTGGATACACCTGGGGTACTTTTCAAGAGAAACTATTCCCCCCCCTTCATCCCATGTTATTTTTTATTTCAACCCTCTCTTACCTGGTTTGCGGAATATCCTGTATTCACATACCTACCCGCCCAGCGAAGCCAATGTTGTTCTGCTGTGGTCCGCTGCAGAGGTGCCAAACACCAGATCTCACATCACCAACTTCTTTTGCGACTTCATCAGGAGCCGTCTGACTTTTCCTGGTTCAGACAGCTGGCTCCCTGATGACACACCAACAGGTCCACTCTCGTTTAGCCACAGACTGTAAGCCAGTCCCCCATGGGATATCTGATGTAGATATCCCAGGAGGCTGCTGGGTCAGGGCTGACATAAGTAATTCTTACCTAGGTGAAAATAAAAGGGAGGTGGTGGACAGAAACAAAAATATACAAAAAGGTAAGACGTCACCATTTTTGTTTAAAAAGGACAAGTGCGCCTTAAAAAAAACAAAACAAAAAACACCAATAAATGCTTATTTTTTGCAGGTTAAAAATGTGCATTTACAAAATGTTTTTTTCTTAGGAGGCTGTAAAGCATTGCACCTGCGATCAGCAGATTGCGGGTGCAATGTGCGGCTTCTGCAGACTGTCACCGTAGCTGTCTGCCTGTACCTCTGACAGGCAGTTACTTCAGCCCAGGAAGATCAATGGACTACGAGAGTGTTCACCAGCGTCCTCACAGTTCGTTGAGAGCTACAATCTGTCAGCCGCAAAAGCCGACGGTACTTCCAGGCATTCATTCACAGACCTCTATGAATGAATGATGCAGCTGTGTGAGCGGAGCCCCGCACGGCCACGTTCTTTTCAAGATGTGACAGTGTGTGCAGAAAGAAGATCCCCGGCCTGTTGTCACAGGGGGGCGTCGGGGTCTAATTGGGGGAGACTTGCAGGAGCAAGTTACATGTTTCCCTGTAAAAATGGGTGAAACATGTAACATGTTCCCAAAGGTGAACTTATCCTTTAAGGAAGAGGTAAAGATTATTATAATGTAAATCAGGTATTTGGGAGTGAAAGTATGTTTTAAAAAATAAGTAATGCTATTGCTAAATGTTAGTAATGATACAAACAATAAATGGAAAAGACTGATATGTTTTTGTTTTTTCTTTTACTCTGGATGGTATAAGACTTACTGGGGTAATGATGGTTGCAACGCCAACAGGTTGTTTGAGGACCAAGGCTCTTCGGTCTTTCAGTGGCACAGAGATCACATCTCCATATATACGGCGAGCCTCTTCAGAGAACCACTCCACAAAGCCTGCAGCATATACAATCTCACCAAGTGCTTCCTTTAAAGGTTTGCCCTTTAAAAAAAAATAAATAACAAACTTCACAGACCACATGTTGCAAATGAGGTCCATGTAACAAACATGGTTTACAATATAGACCAATATTTCTTTAGTTTTAAACATGGTAGACAAGCATTCTGGTTATAAACATTTGCCTAGTCCCAATTAATGATATGATCCAGGTTAAAATGAAAAAAGCATGATGGCGGAACAGTTTAATTTTCCGGATTTATGTCAGTGCCTGGTGCTGTATACAAAATACAATATGAAACAGCACACCTACTGATAACATTATAACTTCCCTTCAAAGAAAAACTGCAAGGAAATAGGAGTGATGCCCTTGCTACTCTTTCCACCTAAAATTGGCAGCCTAGTGCTTAGCATTTCTGCCTTGCAGTACTGGGGTCCTTGGTTCGAACCTTTGCCTGAACACCATTATGCATGTTTTCCCTGTGCTTGTGTGGGTTTCCTCCTACATTCCAAAGACATGCTGGCAGGTTAATTGGCTCCTGTCTAAACTGTCCTAGTATGTGTGTATAAATTGGTTATACAGCCAAGAAAATTCCATGTAAAAAGCTTTTTAAGAGTATTAGTCATGGTGTCAACAGAGCTGGCCAAGAGTTGGATATAACTGAACAGTTACATACATACCTTTTAAAATGCTGGCTGCCTGGCTATTATATTCATCCAGTGGCTTCAGTACTTTCTGATTAATTGACCTAGAACAAGCAAGCAGATCAGGTGTTGTCTTCACATACATCATACTTGTTCAGGGTCGAGAATTCAGGAAGTGTTGAATCCAGGTAACTACTAGCATTGTGAAAAGCAAGTCAGAAATTGCTCCTTACTTTTTTCTCTCAGTGCAGGTTTTCAATAACATTACAAAGTGTATACTATATACATAATTTTTTTGCATGTGGATATAAAGAAAAAGAGGGATCTGGTTAAGGGGGTATCAGAACCTTGTCCAACGTTCATCAAGGATCTTACATTTTCTGCTGTGATAATCTTGGCTAAATCTTCTTTGTTTTGGATCATCAGGTCATACCATCTGCGCAGCAAGTTGCTCCGTTCCTAAGGCATAATAAACAAATTTGTTTAGATTTATAAAGTCTACCTAAAGCAGCCATTCTCAGCTAGGGTTCCTCCAGAGGCTGCTAAGTGTTATTTTGAGCTGTGGCTGATTGACCTCCCAACTAATGATGCCTACATAGTTCTGGGTCTAAAGCCACTTGGCAAAGCCAGCAGCATGACACCAATGCTTTTTTTGCTGTCCGTAAGGGGGACATCCACTGCCAACCAGCTGTGACCCTCCCCCAGTCCTCAGTACAGATTCCCCTCATTCCTCTGCTGTGGTGGGTGGCTAGAACTGTTGACATCCTAGCAGCCAGTGATGCAAATGCCCCACCACCAGCATTTACAGGAAGGCTGGACTTCCTCTATCAAGACCTGCTCCACTTACTGCCTTCCACCCTGTTGCTTGAAAGTGAAGGGGGAACTCTGCTGCATACTTTTGGATGGAAGTAATAAAATATATGATGTGCTCCTCATGCTAAAAATTTTGGAGACCCTTGCACTAGAGTAACTGTGTCTACATGTATCTCTTATACAATGCAAACAAAGTGGTATATTGAATGCAAAACCAAAAAAGTAATATATTGCAGCTTACCAAACATTAGATGTGGTGGCTGCATTAGTTTTCTTTTTGTATTTTCCCTCTGTTTTCTCCTGGTGATCTGGCCAGTAACACGCCTTCTGTATTAGCGTGCCTCCACTCTGGTATGGTGTATGGCGTTGATCGGGGCGTTGGTATTGCGTTCATCGGGGCATTGGTATGGTGTATGGCAGTGATCGGGGCATTGGTATGGTGTTGATCGGGGCGCTGGTATGGTGTACGGCGGTGATCGGGGCGCTGGTATGGTGTATGGCGGTGATCGGGGCGCTGGTATGGTGTATAGCGGTGATCGGGGCGCTGGTATGGTGTATGGCGGTGATCGGGGTGTATGTATGGTGTACGGCGGTGATTGGGGTGTTGGTATGGTGTACGGCGGTGATCGGGGCGTTGGTATGGTGTACGGCGGTGATCGGGGCGTTGGTATGGTGTACGGCGGTGATCGGGGCGCTGGCATGGTGTACGGCGGCGTGATCGGGGCGTTGGCATGGTGTACGGCGGTGATCGGGGCGTTGGCATGGTGTACGGCGGTGATCGGGGCGCTGGTATGGTGTACGGCGGTGATCGGGGCGCTGGCATGGTGTACGGCGGTGATCGGGGCGTTGGCATGGTGTACGGCGGTGATCGGGGCGTTGGCATGGTGTACGGCGGTGATCGGGGCGTTGGCATGGTGTACGGCGGTGATCGGGGCGTTGGCATGGTGTACGGCGGCGATCGGGGCGTTGGCATGGTGTACGGCGGCGATCGGGGCGTTGGCATGGTGTACGGCGGCGATCGGGGCGTTGGTATGGTGTACGGCGGCGATCGGGGCGTTGGTATGGTGTACGGCGGCGATCGGGGCGTTGGTATGGTGTACGGCGGCGATCGGGGCGTTGGTATGGTATATGGCGGTGTTTTTGTGCACATTGGGACAGCTGACAGGGGCTGGATGCATTGTTTATTATGTATTTATTGGACCACTGATCAGGGACACTAGAGTGGCAGGAACAGCAGTCTGTGAGTGTACAAGCAGCATGACAGGCTCTCAGTAACACAAGATTTGGAAGAATGGTGTCTGCAATGGAAGACAGAACACTGGCGGTGTCCACACAGATGCTCACCTTGCTGGACACCTCCTTCCAGCTCTGAAATGCCCCTGAAGCAGCTTTCAATGCCTCTCTGCACTCTGCAGGCCCACAGTCAGTAACCTGCACCAGTTCTGTTCCAGTGGCGGGATCCAGCACCGGGAAAGTGGCGGAATCAGAAGATCGTATCCAGGAACCACCGACGTAGGCAGCCGAGCGCAACAAGGATGTGGGCAATGCGCTGACACAGGAGGAGGACATCCTGCAGAACAGTCTCAGGGTGCCAGGAACAGGGAGATGAGAGAACATTACTTCCAGGTACAAGGAGGCAGCAATCTGTAAAGTGTACAATAATAGGTGACTACGTGCAATACAAACCAACAATCATTAACTGTCATGCAATGTTCAGATGAAAATCCAGGTCAATGATTAATGAGGAAGAGGAATGATCAGTCCAGTGCTCGGAGGTCAGGACTGAGGAAGGGGGAAGGCTGACCGTCTTCCCTGCACTCCTTATATTACACTACAGAACGGGGAGACCCGGAACTATCAGGCAGCCGGAGACTGACCGTCTTCCCTGCAGTACAGTACAGCTGATATCACACGAACAGCCCTCACCTCACTGACACAGCCGAGCCGTGCGTAAAGGTGTGTGACCGCCTTCTACCAATCACCATCCTGAGAAACTGCATTCCCAATCATCATTCTTCATCCCGTCTCCTCGTCCAATCGTCGTCCTAGAGTCCCCAGCTTCCTCCAATCACCGATGCGTCTCGCTCACGTCTACGAGTTCTGTACAATAAAGGTGCTCATAACTCAGTAGACAGATGACATCGCCATCTAGTGGACGGTGGTTAGTCATGGCATACAATTCTCACCAGTCAAGTGCTCTGTATGTTCTCGTTGCAGGTGTCTGTCTTGTTACCAAACCCCCTTTTTTCTCCTCAGCTGTCTTTTATTCGCACCTTGTGTAACAGAGTGTGATAAAAATGTACTATTTAACTATACAGGCATACCTCGGTTTGCAAACGCCTCGGTTAACATAATTTTCAATTTACGAATGAAAATCCATTGAAAATAAAGCCTCGGTTTACGAATTCTTTTTGCAATACGAACGGATTAATTGGTTTTCAATGCATTTACAAATGATTTTTTTAATCATGTCCCTGTACAGTATTTATGCCTTCGAAGTGCACTTTATAAAGAGTTTTGAACAGATAAAATACTTTTTTTTTAACTTTTTTCTGACCTCCGAAACGGATTAATTGGTTTTCAATGCATGCCTATGGGAAAACGCGTTTCGGTTTATGAATTTTTCGCAATATGAAAAGTCAAGCAGAGCGAATTAAATTCATAAACCGAGTGTTTTCTGCAGTGTTTTGCATTTTGCAGAAAGGCAGTACAGTCCATTTAATATGATTTCCTATGAGACATGTTCACATCTCCGCGTTTTCACCCAGTGCGGTTTTTGGAAAGGTTCAGGCACTTTTTTGAAAGCAAAAAGTTGCGTCTTTGGTTCTATAGATGTCAATGGAAATGCTGCAGAAAAGCATGTATTGCGTTTTTGCTGCATTTTTTATGCATTTTTTATGCATTTTGCATTTTAAATCTGTCCTAGCAACAAGAAAAAAATAAAACAAAAAATGCATCAAGAACGCAGGTGCAAAACGCAATGCAGAAACAGCTCATACGCAACATGAGTAGGTGTGAACTTAGTCTAAAGTGTTAGAATTGCTGAGTTTTGTCCAAACTGCTTCTCTGTGTATAGGAGCCAACAGGAGGTGAAAGAAGCTTCAAACGGGCTGATGCAGCTAAGGCTTGGTTCACACCTATGCAGTTTGCATTTAATCCATTTCTGCAGTTCTTTTTGTTGTCCGTTTTGCAGTTTTGTGGGGGGTTTAATTTTTTTTCTTCTGTTTGCTAGACAGATTAAAATGCAAAACTCTTAAAAACGCAGCAAAAACGCACTACATGCATTTCTGCAGCGTTTCCATTGAAGTCTATAGAATGAAAAAAAACGCAACTATTTGCATTTAAAAAAGTCCCTGACCCTTTCCAAAAAACGCACCAGGTGAAAACGCGGAGATGTGAATATGTCCCATAGAAAATCATGTTAAATGGACTGTAGTGCATTTCTGCAAAAGGCTACGGAAAACGCTTAGGTGTGAACCTAGGGTAAGGCAGAGGGCTCAGCTTTCAATATGGAGTGCCTCAAATGCAACCCCTGACATCACCAAAGGGTTGCATATAGATGTAGCACTCCCCCCTGAGGAGTCACTAGAAGTTTTGGGTCCCCCTATAGTTCTGCACAGCCAGGCATCACACATCTTCACGAAAGCTTGCATGCAGAGTCAGAACTCAGTCCTTGAGCTTTGGTGTTGTTGTTTCATTTAGGGGAATTGAACTGGGATAGGGTTAGAGGTGTACAGGATGCCCAAAGGTACTGATAAACGGAGGACAACTTCCTGGAACTATTTACAAGTTTTCTCTGCAACACAGTCTCAGTTGGAGAGCTAGCCAGTGTGTCCTTAGTGTACCACCCCAGAACCTAGATGAACTTCTCTTCACTCAGCAATCTGGAGGTATCCCTGAACAGGAGATCTGGTCCTGTCACTTTAAGAGATGAACAGTCACTGGCAGGTGGCTAATCTGGTTTTCCACCAGAGAGCTCCTTCTCCTATCTGCCCAGGGGGTGCAGGCATACTCACTTAGATCCTCTCCTGTACTGCTTGTGAGTTGATGGCTGCTACCAGGCCTATCAGCTTGGCTGCTCCTTCCCTGCCATAAAGGTGGTCTTCTCTCAGCGGGCCGATGAGCTTTGAGCTTTCCTCCTTTCCAGGTCCAGGCCTGCAGGTAGGCCCCATCCCACTGGGTTTCCTCGCCGCCTCCTTTCCTTCAGCCTCACATCCTCCTTTCTGTCTTCCACCCAAACTCTTCTGCTACACTCCTGCTACTGAACAGGCTCCAACCATCTTGTGGGGATTGGGCAAGGATACCGCTTTTAAGGGTGTCCCAGCCCCTAGCCAACTCTTGTTGGGGATTGGCAAGGATCCCTCAAAGTGCAATCAGCGACTTTTCAGATCCAGCCACAGCCTCAAGGGCTTTCCTCCAAAAGCCCTAGAGCAGGGGGGGAAATTCCAGGGGGGCTGGCCTGCAGAGCCTCTCAGCCCTGACCACAATTTGACCCCTCTCTGGCTATTATACACAGGCTGCTACTCAGCCTCTGTCTAACCATTGGAGTCTAGCTCCCCAAAGCTACCTAGAAGGGCGCTACATAGAATTAAGTAAATATTCATTGTCAGAGACAGCAGACACACTACGAGATATAGGCAAAGACTATGGGCCTGATACAGAAGTTGGTCAGAGGCTGCAGACATAAAATGTTTCAAACAGTTGAACGCCTGGTCAGAGATTGAGGACATAATACAGGAGATGGTCAGAGATCGTGGACATAGTACCAGAGATGGTCAAAGATTGTGCACATAATACAGGAGTGTCAGAGATTGTGGACATAATACAGGGAATTGTTAGAGATTGTGGACATAATACAGGAGATGGGCAAAGATTGTGGACATACAGGAGATGGTCATAGACTGTGGACATAATACAGGAGTTGGTCAGAGACTGTGGACATATTACAGGAGATGTTCAGAGATTGTGGAAATAGTATAGGAGATGGCCAGAAACTGCAGGCATAGAACTGGAGATGGTCAGAGACTGTGGATGTAGCACCCTCCTAGTTAGCTAGGGGGAGCTCTAGTTCCAATTGTTAGAGCCTGAGTAGCAACCTGGGTGTCATAGCTAGCAAGGTCAAATTAAAGTCAGAGATGAGAGGCTCTGCAGACTGTAATTTCCTCCTGCTCTAGGACTTTGGAGAAAGATCTAGAACAGTGGGCAGATGTGAGGAGTGGCTGGTCTGTACACTTCAAGGATCTTGGCCAATCCCCAACAGGCATGGCAAGAGGCCAGGACAGCCTTTAAGAGTAACTGAGCCTGTTTAGCAGCAGGAGAGTTGGAGGGAGAGTTTGGGTGGAGTATTGAGAAGAAGTGAGGCTGGAGAGCAGGAGCCTGGGAGGGGGCCCAGATGGGAGATGGACTCACCTCCAGGCAGGGACCTTGGAGGGTGGTAATCTTGGAACTTTAGCGGTCCCATGAGAGAGGACCACCTGCCTGGCAGGGAAGGAGCAGACCAGCTAAAAGGCCTGGTAGCAGTCACTAACCCACCAGCAACATAGGTGAAGGACTAAGTGAGTAGACGTGCACTGCCTGGGTGTTCTTCTATTGTTGTGACTTAGATGACGTTCAGAGCACATTTTATGCCCAATTCATGCAAAACTCCACGTAATCCCAAGGGGTTCACATACTTTTTCTTGCAACTCTATACAGGAAATGGTCAGAGATTGTGGACATAATACAGCAGATGGCCAGAGATTGTGGACATAATACAGGAAATGGTCAGAGATTGTGGACATAATACAAGAGATGGTCAGAGATTGTGGACATAATACAGAAAATTGTCAAAGATTGTGGGCATAATACAGGAAATGGTCAAAGATTGTGGGCATAATACAGGAGGTAGAAGATGAAAGTGTAATAGCTGCCTTCAGGTGAATCTATGCATATATCAGCTGCTGACACTATGCCCAGATGCTCGGCACAACAGATATAGGTATATAGCAAAAACTAAAATAAAAAAAAATGATAAAAAACTAAAATAATGAAAATAAATTATAAAAAATAATCCTATTAATCACCAAGATCTTAACCCAATGCCTTTTAACAGCAATATTTGTAATGAAAATGCTTTGCATAAACTGTGATACCATGATAGTATACAAAAACATAAATCAGCAAAGTGCCTAAATCCAGGTATTCATATAAAGGCATATACACCAGAAAATACACTAGAACATAATAAAAAAATTCCCAGAAGCTGTGATGAGAAAATAGAATGAGCTCTGCAGGCCCTCACCATCAAACACTTTTAAAGTCTCCCAGGTGTCATTGGTCACACACAAGGCTAATGCGACGCTCCATATAGGAGTGGTCACATGCACATAATGATATTCCCCCAGGGAAAGGGCGCTCTCTCCAACCCCCCCTCATCAACAGAGACACCAGGAGTTTTGCTGTCAGTTATCACCATATACATCCACAACTTGCAGGGAACCCCTGCACCATTGGGAATTAGCTCAGCAGGACCAAGACACATATGATAAAAGAAAAACTCCACATAGCATAAAAACCACAAATAAAAAATGGAATTTCTTAAGTCTACTTACAAATGTCTAGAAGTAACACATCAGATC